TGTTTTGGAGCGCCCCCCCCCCCCACCTGGAGTATATGTGGAATGTTTAGACGGATTTAGGTACAATGAACTCCGTTTCACATCTCGATGACCCTCCCGTCGGTGTGAGTAGCAGCAGCGCCCAATCTGCCTGTCAGATTTTGTGAACGCGAGATGCCTTGAAGCCGTTTTCATTCTATTTCACGTCGGTTGACGGAAGAACTCTACAGTTTTAATTCTAAAGGGTTCTGACGACGTTGGATGGCACACAGAATTACTGAGTTTTTGGCTTTTTCCATCGTCCGGAATTCTAGGTAATAGAGGACACGACGTTTCGGAAACTGGATCACTGATTGAGATTAGCTCTTTTTAAGGGGCCCAGCTTAGTAGGTGTCTTCCTTTCTCACCTGAAGACGGAAACAGATCCAGTTTCCGAAACGTCGTGTCCTCTTATTACCTAGAATTCCGGACGATGAAAAGAAAAGTACAAACTCCCAGTAATTCTGTGTACATAATAAAACTTTTAACATTCTGATCTCAGCGGAAGACATCACGTTCTACGAATGGAGCTTGGAGTAATTCTGAAGAAAATATTTTCATACAACCCCCAAAATAAAAGGCGACGAAACGTAGGGCGCCAACAGTTGAGATGGAGGACCAGGATTGGCGGAGTGGAAGGGAAATGAGAAAATGATGATAAGTGCACTTCTCGACCTACGTTGGGTAGTTTCATTGAACTTAATTAATTTGAAGGGGAGATAAAATCTAAATGTGAGACTCAGGAGCCCAACGGAAATCGACAGCGCACTAACCTCTCTAATCAACACTATAAAACAGGCAACCCGAGATGCTACACCTAAGATCACTTCCAAAATAACACAAGGAATGTTCCAATTGAAATTAGAAAACTCATAGCTGAGAAAAGAAGAGCAAGAGCAAGGTAGCATAGAAGTCGAGCACCAGTAGATAAAACAACATAGAACCATATAGTTTAGTTATATAGAGAGGGTGGGTTTCCCCATGCACCGCGACCAGTTTGATCTATTGTGCTTCCCTCTATGATATTCTACCAGTTTCTATACCCTACCGATAAATGGTGCGTACCATCAGTCCCACCGAGCAAGCGAGTTCGGCCACTTGCTTAGCGGTATCTATAATGCTTCCCCAATCTATCAGAGGCCTTAGAGACTATTGTTGGGCGGGAAACTTCCTGGAATTTGTCTCAGTGATCCCCTTTGGAGATATGAGGTTGTTTTACGTGCCGTAAAGTTACGACACGGGACACACAGCTTAAAGTCCCTCCTGGAGGACTTGTTCCCTGAATTTTTCCGCCCTTAAAAATTCTACGACCTCCGCCGGGTATTTGAACCAGCGTACCACGAGTTATGAGGTGGGAACGTTACCTCTAGATTACGGAGGCCGCTTATAACCATATAAGTAATAGGCTGAAGTGTAAAATTAAAGAGGCAAGAGAAATATCCTTCTCTAACTATATAACCAGCCTCAACAGCTATGACAATTCCATCTGGAAACCCATCAAACATTTAAAAAAAACCCTAGACACAGATACATCCCATAAGAAATGAAATTACGCCTCAAACATTGTGGGCAAGAAGTGATGAAGAAAAAGCAGCTATGTTTGCTGAGTATCTTGCTACAGTTTTTACAGCATATGATGATCATACTGATAAAGAAATAGAAAGACAAATATCTGAAAATATCAGCATTATACCAAAAATAAAATTTCTTACTCTTAAAGAAATGCAAAATGAAATAGCACTCCTAAATTCAAGAAAAGCACCCAGCATTGACGAAGTGACTCCCATAATGTAATGTTAAAAGCACTGTCAAGAAAAGGGTTAGTACTTCTCACATATATGTTTAATGCTATTCTCAAACTTAAATACTGGCCAAACCAGCTAACACCAGCAGAAATAATCCCGATCCTCAAACCAGGCAGAAATCCTAATAGTGTGCCATCCTATCGTCCTGTAAGTTTATTTACCCATCATATCTAAGCTCCTCGAAAGACCTCTCTTAAAAAGAATAAGGTCTGACCCAAATACAGAAGAATGGATACCATCAATTTGGTTTTAGAGAAAGCCACTCCATGGCACAGCAGATACATTAGAATAACACACAAAATACACCAAGCAATAGAAAATAAAGAATACTGCATATCGGTCTTCCCCGATGCAAGTCAAGCCTTTGATAAGGTATGGTATCCAGAACTACTGTACAAAATCAAAAAATATCTGCCCATCACTTATTTCCACTTACTAAAATCCTATATAAATGGCAGAGAGTTCAGAACGCGAATCAATGATAGCATATCTAACAATTTTGCAATAAAATCAGGTGTACCACAAGGCAGTGTCTTAGGCCCAATACTTTATTTACTGTATACAGCAGACCTACCAGTCAATGCCAACACAACAATGGGCACATTTGCGGATGATACCGTGACCTTCTCATCCAACACAGATCCAACAATAGCTACCTTCACTTTGCAAAATCATCTAAATCAAATGCAAGAGTGGACAAATACATGGAAAATAAAAATCAACGAAACCAAGTCAGTGCAAGTAAACTTCAGTCTAAGAAGAGAACAGTGTCCTGCAGTTTTCTTTAATAACATACAAATACTTGAATCACCCAGCACAAGCTACTTTGGTATTCATCTAGAAAACCATCTAACCTGGAAGGAACACATTACTAAAAAACGCAAACAGATTGATCCAAAAATCAAGGATATGCATTGGTTAATTGGAAGAAATTCAAGGCTCTCATTAGACAAGAAAATCTTACTTTACAAAACAACAGTAAAACCAGTTTGGGTATATGGAGTGGAAATATGGGGATGTGCTAGCAAAACCAATATTTCCATAATCCAAACATGTCAGTCAAAGATACTACGTATGATTACTAACGCCCCATGGTATGTTTCCAATATAAGACTCCATAAAGACCTGAAAGTGCCGCTAGTAAAGGAAGTTATAATAGGGAAAAGCACAAGATACCACAACAAAATTGGAGGACATGAGAACGTAATAATTCAACCGTTACTGGAACCACACAATGGACGAAGACTAAAAAGGAACTGGCCAGCCGACTTGAGAGAGGGTTAACGAGAACTTATGGCTGGATAAGCCCTCTCCACGACACGGGGAATAATACAGCTAATTAGCTTATAGAATCAAATGTAATTCTGATGGCTAATTTTATGTAAATAAAACAAATTTGAATGTAATCTCTCTCCCCGAGGCCATTACTTGCTCTGTAAGAGAGCCTGCATGCATACACGCCTTGTACCCTGTGTACAGTTCACAGGCAGTTGAGCTGCGCTCCATTGTCATGCACTGTCCTGTTGTTTCGAGCTGTTTGTTCAGTTGTGTGTGGTGTGTTATTTCTTCATTACCACGTATGAACCAGCTGGTTACGCACTTGTCCTTGAAATATTCCTGTAACTTGAGTCATATTTGTGCGCCAAGTAACGTGCGCATGAAACCGAAAAATTTACCAAAGGCAGTTTAATTTATTTTATTCAGAATTTGTTTCGCGCTGGCGTTCACTGTAAGAATACATCAGTTCGCGAATATGGATCTCAAATCTTCCCGTATTTCGCGGTTACTGGTTATTCGCAGGTAGCATAGTAGTTTCAGGAATTATGCTACAAGCCGGAAGGTCGCATGTTCTGTTCGCGGTGAGGTCATTGGATTTGTCAGTTGGCCTGTTCTTTCCAGCCGCAGTATGACCCCCTGCGGTCCATTCAGCCTCTAACAGAAATGTGTGTGTTCGCGTGCGTGCGTGAAAGAGATTATTATTAGACTAAAAATTTAGGGGGGGGGGATAACCCATGTCAGGATCGCCTCTGTGGTCTAGTGGTCAGAGTTCCTGGCGACAGATGCAGAGGTCCGGGTTCGATTTCTGGCGCAACCAGATTTTCTTAGAAGTAGTGGGTCTGGAGCGGGGTACATTCAGTTTCGTGACGATAATTGAGGGGCTCTTTCAGGGATAAAGCGGCTCCGGTCTAGAAAACCGAAAATAACGGCCATGAGGATTCGTTGCGCTGACCGCGCGAGACCCACTATCCGCTCAAGTTAGCACTGAGTTCGGCGACAAGCGGCGGTCGCTCGGTTGGTATAGTTCGCTTGCAGACTAAAACCACGGAGTTTTTTTATCACCTATGTATTGTAGAACTAAGGATCAGTGTTTGGACACCTTCATTTTATCTCATCAGTGTGAATACAGGGAATGACCATAAAAAGGTAAATCTATTCCTGTAACGGGCCATGGAGGCCCATAAGGATGTGAGACGTTGAGGGTCCCACATTATCTAAGACAGTCGGCTCAGAAATGGCGGTAAGGTTGTCAGCCTTACGCGTCGGACGCCCTTAACCCCCCAGGAAGATTCCTGGTACTCATTTCTGTTATAGGCTGAGTCAGCGCTAGGTCCATAATGCGGCTGGAAGGATTGGGTTAATTCAAAATAATTCACTCCATCGGGACTCGAACCCGCGACCTTCCCGATTGTAGCATAGTGCCTCAACCAACTACACTACCGCCTGTACCGGGAATGACATTAAGACTAAGGTTAACGCTTTTTGGTGATGCTGTTACATGTTTCATAAAATTCTTATGTTTAATATTATCCACAAGCACATTGGGCAGAGTTGAAAATAGTAGCTTTAAGCAGCCGTAAATATATTTTAAATGTATGGTTATTCCGCGCATCAGTCGCCGACAGCCTCTGAAGCATTTCTTGTAACCCATCTTTGAAGTAACTGATTTTTGTAGAAGATTTTAATCTATTTATTTAAGTCAAATTTCCTGGTAATAACAGAATATGGTTACATGTTCAGTTGCACACACAGATGTGAGTTATTCATCCGAAAGAAAATTTAAGTTGCAGATGTTACAGGAACTGCTAGTCAGCCTCTTGTGATAAGTTTGTAGCCCTTTGTATGAATTCTGCTTTTTAAAGTCTGTTGCCTCTTACAAAGATCGTGGTTTTATTGCAGGTGGTTCCGGCACATTTCAGAAGCCGCTGAAGCGTACAAGACCCGGGATGGAAAGAATCGGCGTACAGAACCATCTGGACCTTCGGTGTCCACTCCAGAGAGTGAAGCATCTGAAAATGCACAAGACAAAACCAAAGAGTGAGTAGTGAGATATTGTGTTATATGTTTTTTGTTAAGTACATTATGTATAAGTTGGAGAAATCTGCATAATGAGGAGCTTCATAACTTGTACTCTTCTCCAAATATAATTAGAATGATCAAGTCGAGGAGGAGGTGGGCAGGGCATGTAGCACGAATGGGGGAGAAAGGGAATGCATATAGGGTTTTGGTGGGAAGGCCAGAAGGAAAGAGACCACTGGGAAGATGAAGGCGTAGGTGGGTGGACAATATTAAAAGCGATCTTAGAGAGATAGGATGGGATGGTATTGATAGCATTGATCTGGCTCAGGATAGGGACCAGTGGAGAACTCTTGTGAACACAATAATGAACCTTCGGGTTCCATAAAATGCTGGGAAATTCTTGAGTAGCTACAGATTTGGCTTCTTCTCAAGAAGGGCTCAGCTCCATAAGTAAGTATGTATAAGTACATTTCCTTACTGGAACTGCAGTAATTATTTTTGGATTCATACAAGAATTCACTCTTATCTCTCTGAAGGCTTATATAGTGAGGATATTTGCTGAGCCAGAGGATTACCATTCTCTTATGCCTAAGTTACTATATTCCCTACTTAGCCCCCAGCTGTGGTGGCAGTCATACCTCAGTGAAAATTACTGGTTCGCTTGCAATATCTGCCTACTATCCCAAATTTTGCTTTACAGTAAACCCTCACAAAATCCAGTTACAGTAAATCTGGATCAGAATATGAAAGATGAAAAACTTCTGTTCACAGTGGGGTGCCTGCTTTAAAAGGCACATGGGATTCAGGAGCAAGTGGACTTTCACACTCTGTTGAGGGCAGCTGGAGAGATCACAGCTGAGTACATACTGTAAAAGGCACATGGGATTTAGGAGCAAGAGGACTTTCAGACTGTGTTGAGGGCACCTGGGGAGATCACAGCTGAGTACATACTGTAAAAGGCACATGGGATTTAGGACAAGAGGACTTTTAGACTGTGTTGAGTGCAGCTGGAGAGACTGAAACCACACAAGAAAATATCACAAGATTGGCTTGAGCTGGGTGTAGGAGGCCCTGGATTTCAGCTTTTGACAGAGGAAGGAATTGCTGGAGTGATATTTTCTTACTTGTTTTCATCAGCACTACATATATTATTAAATTTTGCATTTATTTGTTGTCTTAAGTTTTTTGGGGGGCTTTTAGGGCTATCCTTTGTTTCATTAATCCAGAATAGTGAGGGTGTACTGTACTTGTATCAGCATAGAATACAGGACCCACAATTCTCCTTGCACTCAAGAAATACCAGGCACAACCTTTTTGTTTGTACTCAGTATTTCTGTGAGCCCACAGGCTGTGTCTGTCATTGTGTGTGGCATGACTGTTTGGGGTGGGAGCACTGATAGGGCAGTGGTACTGTTCCCATGAGAATGATGGTGGACAGGGGCAACCTGCAGATGAACTTGGGCTCCAGATCATGGAGACAGGGCCCACTATTAATTACATTCCTTGAATAGAACCTTCATTGCAGACGTTTTGCTGTGGTCTTATGGACTGTTACATTGTTTAGCCTTGCTGGTGGGTACCAGGGTCAGAATGAGTGTGGATTTCAGGTTTTAATGTTAGTGAGCATTACAGATGTTGTCTGCCATTTACTTTGGTAATCTCATGATGTGTTTTGTCACATCCGTTTCAGCTCTGATGAGACTGCCAGTGAAGCTGTGAAGGAACAAGGTGACTTGTCTGTACCGCCGGGGGGATGTAGTACCACATCACAAGATGTTGATTCAAGCCCTGTGTCTACATCAGCCAATGAAAATTCACCACTACCATCAAACGAATCAACATCATCACCTCAGGCTTCCCCTTCCTCGGTACCTGCGGACGGAGGCGAGACTCATGCGAGGAAAATGGGTAAGCTTCGCATGTATATACGTACTTATCAGTTTATATGTAATGTGATGGTGCTTCATATATCTGTTCAGCATACTGTTGCTCAGTATGGCCAGGTACAGCTCGCCGTGCAGCAGTGCGAGAAGCTCAGTACCGAGTTGATCCATAGGCTGGTGTGTCTAGGATAGCTTTGTACTGGCTTCACTATACGTAGAGACAGGTTTACTTGATCGGTTACAGATTTAAGGGAATGTGTTAGCACTTGGCATGGGGACGCATCTGTAGCTAACCAACCAGAAGGCAAGAGAAGAACTAATCCATGATATGTATACAGTTGCCATCATCAGGTGCCCTAATTATGCTATCTGTTTCATTGCTTGCCTTTATAAAATTATTTAAATAGTATTTATAAAGTGCGTATTTGTCAACTATAATAAATTTACACACACTGAAACTTGTTAAGATTATTCATCTTATGTGTCATAATTAAAACTTGCGTGTGGTTCTTCCTCTATGGGGGTCGTCGTCCTTATATTCTGTGTAAACCGCATCTTGTGGTGTGTGTTCCCTTCTTAGCTGCGAGTGTTGTAATCAGGTGAAATTGAGTGCACTACAAGATGGCAACTGTATACATATTATGGATGAAAATCAGTGCAACAGGACACTAAAATACAACAACATGAAGAACTAATCACTTACTTTCTTTTCACTACATATTGAGTCTTTGATAAGACATGGACTGCCACAGGCTGCAGTCCTTCTTTTGTATTCAAGGAACAAGTTTACATAGCAGTGGGGTTGGGGACACACAGACAGCAAGGTGATTTTATGAGCCTCTCTTTTTTATTCCAAAATACAGAAAGTAGGCTAAAAATGGAGAAGAAACTGGTACTTACGTATTAACAGGAAACTGAAGTAAATTTAAGATTGACTTCCATGATATCTGCCGCATTAGTACTGCCAACCATAGATATGTATTTATCTGTAGGAACAAAACCCGAAGCTTGATTTTAAAACGTTACTTACTTATTTTTAGAACGGGAACCAAATACCTAGCATCATGGACTTGTTAGAGGAAAATTCAGGCATGGGCTTTGGGAATTGGAATCCTTTTTGACATGCACCTGGTTGCATGTGGAATTAATATCCAGTGTTTCACAGACAGTGTCTGTCTGAGTCTGGTGTGATGAAAATCACGGGTGCCAGAGTTCACATTGTGAACAAATAGAACTTTCAGGTTCTGTCAGACTGATTTGTTGGAGACAGAATTGATAAACTTTTCCTCAAAAGAAAATAATAATAGTAATAGTTACAATCGTATTGAAGATAACAACAGAATTCTATAACAAATTCACAGTTGCAGCCAAGAAAACGAGTTCTGGTTCAAGTTGAATTCTATCTTTCAACCCTTTATGCATGATCCTAGCATGTAGCTTTGTTAACTAAATTCCATTTACTGCTCGACTAAAATGTATATAACCAAATAATGACATTAACAATACAAGATCTGGAGGACTGGATGCCTTGGTAATAGGGACAGAGGAGTTACACGATTCTGTTCTTAACCATTAATAAAACCAATAGGTTTTCTAGAAGTTGTCATGTCGAATATTCATGTTAATTTATTAGTCATTTTGAACTTTTGAGACTGTATCAAGAAAGCAGTGAAATATCTCAATTTGAACTTCAATAATTGGAGACTTTCCACAGTGGCATATGTCGTGTCTTACGGTGGTTGGCAGCACTGGCACAAGTCAGCATATCACACACTATATCATTCTTTCTGCCCACACAATGCAGTGTATCGTGAAGGGTGATTATTTCAGAAATTGTGATTACAGTGAAACAAAATTGTTCTAGTAGGGAAATCATCATCTCAGTCTCTTCTAAAAGTGGAAAAGTCATTTTTGCTCACACCTAGAATTTATGAAATCTTTCATTATGTATTGAATGTATTCCAAAGCATGCATTATGTATAATAATACCATGTGCACTGTAAGGTATCATATGATTTGTTATTCTTAACAAAGTACTTCAGTGCACGTATTTCTTGTAATGTTGGGGGCCTGCGACATGTCGATATTAACTAATAATTCACACAAAGTGGTACATCTCTACATTTTGGAATTTTGTCCTCATGGACAATATGAAATGTGACTGTATAATTCACAGTACAGGTCATAAATTGTGTGTGTGAGCATAATACGTGTGTTCTTGAAACATTTTTTTCCTCTAATAAATATTTATGGACCTTTGCTAGGAATGCGCACAAGAATGAATGCAGGTTTGCTTGTAACGCATCCAGTGTCATCTGATTTTAAGTAAAAACGTAATGTGTTTACATACTTTAGAGAAGCAGTATCAGATTTTATGAAAAATGTATAAAGTGGGTTTCTCAAGTTGTGATGCCTTGGTAGACAGACAAGCAGGCAGAGTGAATGTAACAGGTGCATTTTGCAGATTTTTTCAGGATCGCCAAAAATTGAGTTCCCCTGAGATATTTTTATGTATTTGTATGCGTGTCTGTGTCTAATGTGCTAGCACACAGTAAGTGTTCCTTCAATTCATATGAAACATATACTGTCAGGTGTTTCCATTTATCTCAAACTAACATTTTAATCCATCTTTTAGAATTCTTAACTGATGCAACTAACCCTTTGGAAGGCACAGTGCAAGTATTTTGCTGCTGTTGCTTCTCTCATAGTGAAGATTCTCAAAACAGCAGTGAGTAAGAAGACAGCTGTGACACCGTGTAGTCTGGTAGATAGGCACCAGTGTTAGTGTTCCATACTTTCCTTCCATTCATACTTCTGCTGAAAGAAATGACCATTTGAGGGCAATTGCTGTTTACCGTGCCCTTGTTACATCGCTCAATCTCATATTTGTTCACCCAGATCCCCAGTTTTTATTCATTCAACTGTACTGCCTTCTGTTTCTTCATTTTTTCCGCCCTTCTCTGCCCTCCCCCCCAATCCCATTTAGTTCTTAACTTTTCTCCATTTAACCTCTTCCCTAACTCTTTGCCAGAGCCATTATTTCACACATTCAATCTGTCCTTGGAGAACAGTCCTGTAAAGGGCCAATATTCCTTGCATGCTTCCCTTTGCTGCTCTTGGGCCAATATTCTTGCACTGTTCTCCTTGCTCATTGGTTAGCCCAGATCTCTTAATTTGTCCTCCACCCTCTCCCTTGCAGTTCTTTCATGCTGGATGTACTTCTTCACAAGAGATTCCCCTGAAACACTGATGGTGCCTTTCTACCAGACTCGTGGCATCACATTTCAGAAGACAATATGAGTTCCTGTTTTCCATCAGAAGATTCCTCTGTAAGCACAATATGGTATTTGTCAGCAAGAAAATTCAGTTCACCATTATTCCACCAGAAATTCACAAACTGACAGCCAAGAATTGAGGTTTTTGTATAATTCTATAATTATGTTAGGGTAAAAAGATTGGTGTCTTCTGCATTGTGATGCCACATAGTGTGATAGGTCGTTGCCTTCATTTCAAAGTCACCTGCTGGCTGCCTTGATCTTCATTTCTAGATAGAGGTACAAGGTTCCTTTAAAAGGTTTTATAGTGCTGTACCAAACTATCATATCCAGAAGAAAGAAAATCCAATCTAACAACCGTGAGATATGATTTATTTGCCTTTCAGAGGATTAATATGAGGGGTAGTCAAATGAAAATGGGTCAGAAGCCAAAACATATTAAAGAACATCTTTACCCAGCCACACATGTCTTCATCTGATGCATGCCGATGTCCATAAATGTCTCTCTTCAGGTCTCCAAAAATGTGGAAATCACGTGGGGAGAGATCTGAGCTGTAGGGGGGATGTTGAAGCACTTCCCAACCAAATCTCTGTAGCGTATTCCTCACAGAGTTGGCAGTGTGGGGGTGCGCATTATCATGAGGAAGGATAATGCCATTCGATAGCATTCCAGGGCATTTTGACTTTATGGCACGTCTCAGTTTCTTCAAATTGGTGGCACCAAGTTTCATCCCCAGTGGCAATATGGGACAAAAAAGCATACTCTTCCTCGTGGTATCTTTGCAAGGGACCCAGTGATGCCATTATTCTTTGCGTCTTCTGTTCCTCCGTGAGTTGATGTGGAACCCACTGCACACAGATTTTGTGGTACAGCAGGTGTTTTGTCACAATGGCGTATATGGAACCGTGACTTATTCCCATCAAAAGACTAATTTCTTCCACAGTGATCTGTCGGTTTGCCCAGATATGACCATCCAACAACAATAACATCAGGAGTGATGACACGATGAGCCTGTCCTGGGCGAGCATTATCTTGCAGGGACACATGTCCCTCTCGGAATCTCTTATGCCATGCTGGCACACGCGAACGTGATATGCTGTGGTCGTCATAAACAACAGACCAGCGACAATGAATTTCTCGTCCTACTCCTTCAGCAGTCAAAAAGCGCACTACACTTTGTTGTTGTTCTTTACCCGCCTCCATTACTGATGTTCGACAACACGTAGCGCTAACCTTACTTCGAGCACAATAAACAAATGACTAGTGTGCAAGGGCACATTGTCACTGTGCTTTCCCGAGTTCCCACCAGATGTTTGTACTGTAAGCAAATTCCAGTGTTACCAACTTGTGTGCCGTGTGAGTTATGCGTGGTGACCCGTTTTCATTTGACTGCCCCTTATATGTAGAAGAATGCTTGTGAATGCCTTGTGGTGTCCAGAAGGGAACGTTAATGATGGTTGAATGGGTGAACTGTTTGATGCACGCCAGTACTTAAAAAGTGCTTTGCTTCACGCTTCATGTTAAAGAAAATGTTGAGCATGGTGCCCCTGTTCCCACCCACCAGGTGACGGCCTGTTGTCCCCCTCTCCTGGGGCCCAGCGCCGCAGAGTGGAACCCCTGCGCCTTACAACAGAAGAGAGTCCCCTCATCCAGCCCTCGGAGGTGGTGGTTTCTCAGCGGCCCGTGCTCACTGCAGAGCCTGTCCTCACACCAATAGGTAACACATCTGTGACTGTACTGACTCAAATATCAGATGTATGCTCTTTCCAAAATTTGGGTGTCTTCACTGCAAGGTACAGGTAAAGGTTAAAGTTGTCCATTTGCTTAACTAATTAAGCACTATGCCATGAAGACGTATGGGGGAGTGGATGTATAGATCCACATGTTCTTGACCTCTGCATTAGTTCAAGGAGAGTGGTTGCCTTCATGCCCTAGCTGCTTTACCCCTGGGGAAAGCACCACGGGTGCCAATTGGATATGAGGTTGGGTGGACCCCAGAGCCAGTCTGGACAACATGCAGAGGGAAAAAAATCTTTCTTGTACCGGAACTAAAACTCTGATCCCTCAGCCATGCAGCCCATAGCCAGTCACTATACTGACTGTGCTATCCTGCCCCCTGTTTTTACTATAAAGATGCTTTTTGAAGAAGCAGCAGCAACAACTACAGTAGTGATGAAGATGACGATGATGAAGGAGAAGTTAATGACACTGGAGGTAGCTTAGGTTATGTAGTAGCACCAGATTATTGGATTGTGGGTGAATGATGAATTTGAAAGGATTTGGAACTAAGTGAATGTGGCATAGTCAGAGTACTCGCACTGTCCTGACATTTGCCAGGAGAGAATGTTGTTTATGGCCTTTATTCACTTGCCATTTTATGTGATAGGCTGCAAGACACAAAAGTAAAATAGGCTATACTTTGTAAACCTGATTGAAATGGATCCACATTCAGTTAGACAGCAATTTAATTTATGCCACATGTTGATGACTGAAGCATTGGTTTGAAGTAAATTATTTTGTGTTGTGTATTAGTGGGATGTCATGGTGTGGATTGGATTGATTTGGCTCAGGACAGGGACTGTTGGCAGGCTCTTAAAAATATGTTAATGAACATTTGGGTTCCATAAAAGAAGGGACATCCATCGGGTAGCTGAGGTAGGAGAATGTTGCATGACTTCCAGAGTCATTAGATAGTAAAATATGGTCATGCGCCATGCAGGAGTCAGAACCAAGAATGACTGCTGGCGAGGAGCAGCAGCAGTTTACCTGACCAACCAACTAGCTGAGCAATTGGCAGCTTCTCAAGAAGTACTTATCCCCATGTAGTTGGTTGGTTGTACCGTATATTGTGTTCACACTTATTCAATACCTAGTTAAAATAGGGAAGATCGTCAAATTACAGGCATATGAACAGAGCCTGTCATACCGTGACGTTCCTCATGAATTAGTGAACCTGCTCTTGTCTAGACTTTATTTCAGCGTGAAATCTGAGGTTTGTGCTGCACTGGGTGAATGTTAAGATTGCAGGCTTTGAGGAAGTGATGCCTTGTAGGTTAGCAGATAGCTGCTAGTGTGTCAGAAGAACCTGCTGCCCCTATGTTGAAGGTAGGCATCTGGCTACGAGGCTAAATGTCATATACAAGAGGACCTGACCCAGATTGTAGTACTCACCACTGTGAGAACCTCATGAACACAAATTTTGTAGGTAATGTCTTTCAAGTAGGGTACTCTTCTGCCTTAGCTCTTTTGTGTGTTATGACATTTCTGGGGGGCATGCTGTAACATATTTGGTTAAGGCACTCCTATGCTTCAAGCTGGAAGGTTGTGGGTTCAATTCCCAATAAGGTCACCAGATTTTTCAGTTGACCTACTCCTTCTAGCCGCACTGTGACCCTGGGGATGACTCAGCCTCTAATAGAAATGAGTACCAGCAATGTTCCTGGGGTAAAGGACAGTTGGCCCATGCATAAGGCTGTCACCCACACCACCATATGTCATCCAGTTATCTAGAAAATGTGGGAGCCTCAGTGGCCTGTTAAAAGGCATCCTTGAAACTGGGGAAATTGTAAGCACAACTGTGTCGGATCCATATTTTATGTCTTTCTTTTGCTTAAAATCGGTGCACTTGTAATTTGGAAAGAGCATATTTCATGTTCGTGCCAGAGCCCTCATTCACAGAGGCTTATGGCAAGGTGTGAAGCATGTGGGGTGATGATGGTGATTCGGTGATTTGCAAGTGTCAGGCTCATGCTGCCTAACTTGTAACCAGGTTATGAACATGGCTATCGTTTAGGACTTGTCCACTGTCTACGAATTTTTTCTAAACACAGTGTTGTTTCATCCTTCCGTTGTCACTCGTAGGAAAGAAAACCCTCTTGTTCAGTCAAGTCCATTAGAAGAGCTAGTCTCAAAAACTGGATATTGAAGGACTTTGTGAGCAGAGATATGATGTCCTCACAGCCATCAATATGAGCATTGTCATCATCTGGGATTTGACACTGTTTCAGTGTTGATGACTGGATTCCCTTGTTCTGAAGGTACTTTTAACAACTGATGGATTGTAGCATTGCCCATATGGAGATTTAATTTTTGCCAGACTTTCTTAAATTTGTTGGCAGTTTTTCTGTTCATATCTCCCACTAATGATATTCAGTGTTAATAGAAGGTGTACTGTGCTCCCCACTTCCTTCAGTGTCAGTGATCATGCCTGGCCCTTTGCAGTGGTCCCACCTAAGTAAAGAACCTTCATGTCATTACGCATCATGACCTCGGTTTCTGAAATGTGTGTTTGAAAAAACTTAGTGAATGGTGTCCAGAATAGTAGTTATTTTTGTTTTAACTTGCATGGCTTCAGCTTTTGGGAATACACAGCATGGAATGTTTTCCAATGTCATGTTCCGAGTTAATGTCTTTGGGAAAGGGTCCGAGCTCTTATGTATTTGCAAATCTTGCAGGTGGCAGTAAGTCAGAGGTGAGACATATATGACAGCTTCCATCACACCCAGAGAGTCAGTAACCCTGACAGTGGCAATTGTGGTGTTTGCCGAAACAGAGAACCCTGCTGAGATGTACAGGATGTGCTTCTGAAAGCTATAGCCATACATTTAAATCCTTAAGGGCAAGAATTTACTGTAACACAGCACCATCAGGATCACTTTGTAACTTATAACCAGATCATTTCCATTGTGGTTCATTGCCCAACCTTGTGTAGAACTGAGATTTGACATGCCATATGTGTCATGCCTTCTCCACCCACCTTAACATCCCCCACAGTTCTAAGATACCCAGGTGATTTGTTTCAGGTTCATGAAATGTTGTAACCCCTTGTGTGGGCAACTGCTGCTTCTCTTAAGAATGGTCTTCCTGTTCCTGGCCCTTTAGACCTGCAATTTTGATAAATCATTAGCGCTTTCACTGGGAAATCAAAGAACAGAAACAGAGTACTTTGAGCACATCTGTGATGCAGTATTGCAGTTGCCATTAACATCATGGGCTCACGGCATGTAGCTTAATATTCTGTGGGCTCTAAGTTAATCATATTAACTCTTTCTCATGAATGTAGTTGTGACGTGCCTAGTCAAGAAATTCATTGGCCTTTATGGAACCTTTGGTCACACTATACTTAGCCAGCTGAGTCCAGCCCAAGTCTCTTCCATATATCCAGCAGGTTTTCTGGCAGAATTCCCTTTGCATTTCTCATCTGGATGATGCATGTTACATGGCCTGCCCATCTCATCCTTTTCCTCCTCCTCCTCAAATGCTTCCACTTNGCTTCCATCGGTGGAACGTCATTCCTAACCCTTCTCAGTTCAAAATCTTTGGGGTTCACCATCATTCCTTTGTAACACATTCACTGTGATTTGCGTTGCCTGACATATTGAAGTTGCTGATCCTGTTAAGTGATGGACCATTGCCACAGTGTACGTAAATGATGTTTTCTCTCATAGACGTCACTCAGATGCAAGTAAACTTCAAGTATGTCTTGTGGAAGCCCAAGAGTGGAAACGTACGAGTACAGTTACTTTCAGTTGTTTTTGTACATGTTCCGATATGTTTCTGTTTCACGTGTAGTAACTTCCAAATTCTTATTCTGCTAATTTATTAATTTATCCTCCAAGCTCTATCTCGAAGTTCTCTCTGATTTTCCCATAGCCATATAGGCTCTTTATAATGCAACCAAAATGATGGCTCTGACAGAAGATCGGACTGAAATAAATTTGGATTACCTGCTTGTGTGTAATAGTAAAATACCATGGATTCATACTATCATATGATTCAGTGATTCTAGATGGTATTTGGATGGTAATTGGATTTATTGAACTTGCAGATCATAACTACAAGTAATTACAGTGCTGTCACTAATCCATACATTCTGCAATTTGCTACAGCACTCACTCTTCTCATTCTGCTATATCTTTGCCGGTTGTCTCCTGGTAATGGCTTCCAGCTTCAGTGTTCACATCCTTATTGGCCAGCAACTGTCTCACAGTGAACTAAACTCTAGACTTGCCCCACTTATAACACCTTGGCACAGACCGCATAGAAAACACCATTTCGCTGGTGCTGTTTATGGCCATTCCCTAGCAACGGCCGTTGTTTACAGAGTCATTACTTTGCAGTGGGTCTACGTGGTACAGTATCATTACAACACTTTTATGGTACTGCCCCACTCATATGCAGATGGAGAATCTTTGCCTTTTCATCTTCAGTCAGAATTCTTTTTGCCATGAATGGATCATGTACAATCCATAGCAGTAACAGTCATACATGTAATACAATGCTTATTGAACTCAGTAACAAAATCCTTCCAGATGCTAACACTTATCTTGCCTGTACATGCAGAGCAACTTCGTCGCAAAGACGAAGCCATCCGACTGGCCCTGGCTGACAAGCAGCAGCTAGTTGCTGACATTCTGCATGTTCCAAGGGAAGAGTTTGAAAATATCGCGGAGTTAGCGGGAGAGCCCTCAGTAGACAAAGAAGCAACAGAACTAGTGTTGGCAGCCATCAACCAAGGTATCAGTACTGCAAGACGATGTACAAGGGTCGTCCAGAAAGTAAAGACCATTTGGTGATTGAAGAAGTCAATAAAATTAAAACGTTTTATTTTACATCATTACTTAGATCATTTTTCTACATAATCCCCATGAAGATTCAGGCACTTGTCATGTCGTGTGATGAGTTTCTGAATGCCTGTATCGTGAAAATACATTGAACCAGTCTTTAGCCATCTTCTTTGATGGCACACATGGGCATGCCACCTGGAAACTGCTTCAAGTGTGTGAACAAGTGAAAATCACTTGGAGCCGGGTCTGGACTGTAGGGAGGACAGAAAATAACAGTGCAGGCAAAGTCAACAAATAGCGCATGTGTGCTAGTGGTCTTTACTTTCTGGATGATCTACATAGCTATTTCTCATGCTCAGTATGCTGTGCTAAATGTTGATATTATTCACATGAATCCCCACCATTAAAATCCTCATTATTACTTGGTAGGTCCATAATGGAAGTCTTTGTCTATGTGCACTGAATTCCCTGTTCAGTGAGTGATAGAGGGAATGGCTTTTCTTACACCAAATCAGGGTTTGCAATAACAGGGATTATGCAGAATTTCATCAAGAATCTGTTGCATCTCTTTTATATAATTATACTGAAATAATTTATTGACGTAAGTAGTTAAACTGTTCTGCATAAATGTACATAGTCTTATTAAAGGAACACTGGGTGAACCTCAGTTGAGAATCAAAACAACTAGGGTGCTTTGGCATGTGTTTGCTAGGTGCTCAGTTCACCAAAGATTGTGGTTCTGTGATAATGATTTCTGGTTGAGAGAAAACATAAATATTTGTTGTTGCTTTTTTACTAGGAGCATTAAATCAAGATAAGATACACTAAATCTGACTTTTTTAGTAAATCATATTTCACTTAATGCAAGAAAATTTTGTGTCATTTAAACTGCGTTTTTGGTAGGGACCAGGAAAGGTCTTCACTAGGGATAGAATTCCACTGGATGCTGGAACAGTAAATCAGAATTTCACTATAGTTGTGGTCAGTGAAAAGGGAGTCCATCATCGTAGTACACCATTCCCGCTAATTTGAAGCCCTAAACGAAAAATGATCTTTCAGGTCTTTTGGAGTATTCCATTGCTACAGTGTACAGAGCATTAAATCAAGATAAGATACACTAAATCTGACTTTTTTAGTAAATCATATTTCACTTAATGCAAGAAAATTTTGTGTCATTTAAACTGCGTTTTTGGTAGGGACCAGGAAAGGTCTTCACTAGGGATAGAATTCCACTGGATGCTGGAACAGTAAATCAGAATTTCACTATAGTTGTGGTCAGTGAAAAGGGAGTCCATCATCGTAGTACACCATTCCCGCTAATTTGAAGCCCTAAACGAAAAATGATCTTTCAGGTCTTTTGGAGTATTCCATTGCTACAGTGTACAGAGCATTAAATCAAGATAAGATACACTAAATCTGACTTTTTTAGTAAATCATATTTCACTTAATGCAAGAAAATTTTGTGTCATTTAAACTGCGTTTTTGGTAGGGACCAGGAAAGGTCTTCACTAGGGATAGAATTCCACTGGATGCTGGAACAGTAAATCAGAATTTCACTATAGTTGTGGTCAGTGAAAAGGGAGTCCATCATCGTAGTACACCATTCCCGCTAATTTGAAGCCCTAAACGAAAAATGATCTTTCAGGTCTTTTGGAGTATTCCATTGCTACAGTGTACAGAGCATTAAATCAAGATAAGATACACTAAATCTGACTTTTTTAGTAAATCATATTTCACTTAATGCAAGAAAATTTTGTGTCATTTAAACTGCGTTTTTGGTAGGGACCAGGAAAGGTCTTCACTAGGGATAGAATTCCACTGGATGCTGGAACAGTAAATCAGAATTTCACTATAGTTGTGGTCAGTGAAAAGGGAGTCCATCATCGTAGTACACCATTCCCGCTAATTTGAAGCCCTAAACGAAAAATGATCTTTCAGGTCTTTTGGAGTATTCCATTGCTACAGTGTACAGTTTTCTAAACAGCTGTAGCTTTGTGTAAAGTCCTGTGTTTAATGATAATAGCCTCACTCCAGTTGGAGCTATCAGCCTATATTAACAAGTATGTAACCTTCCACTTGACCACATATGGGGCACATGTCTTCACTGGCTCCTAACCAACACCCCCTAGTTTCCACCATGTTGCCCCTCTTCGCTTCTCTCCATTGTACTTTCTTGTCACCACTCCTCTTTATTAAGAGTAAAAGTAAACGAATTGCTCTCATTTCCTCTCTCTCCAGTTCAGAAGAAGGAATGGCAGTTGTCATTTTGTTGTCTTTTGTCGCAGTTTTGCAGAATGGATGAAAATGTGATCATTTGGCAGGACTAGCCTTTACTAATTTTTGGCTTTCACGATGGTTCCTTCGTAATGTTAATTCTGGGCTTGTATTTTCACACTTCGTTCATATGAACAGTGTTGCCAACATTTCAGAGTTATGTACTGCTTCCATCTTTGGGGTCGCACCAAGCAGATTGGGTTACTCATCATGTTTATTATGCAGATGTGTGTTCCATAAGAGTAGTTAGAGGAAGGACAGGACTGGTGCCTGCCTGTCCAGTGTATAACCCCCCCCCCTCCAAATCTCATTTCCTTCCTATGATACACCATTCCTCATAATCCTTCCTTCCTATTCCCTTGACCACTTGATAACATGTCCATGCCACTTAACTCACAGTAGTATAAGTGGTTAAGTGACATCATGCTTGGTCAGCACTTGGATGGGTCACTGTTTGTAAGCACAAGTTTCTGGTCGCTACTGTTGAATTTAGTGACCCAAGATAAATTTTCTGTGTTCGTTGCCCCGTATTTGCCCAGACTGGACACTGGTACCTATCCTCCCCCCTGCCTGGGTCTTTTGTATCACAACACTATATGTATACAGAGCATGGACCCAGCTTACTGTCTTCGATCCTGAAGATGGAGGTGGTATATTCCTCAAAAACAGAGGTAACACTGCTGACATCCACATGGTGCAAAGAGCAAAGAGCAGGATCATCATCTTCATCAGGATGAATGTTATAGTTCAGCAGCACGAAACCCACACTCGGTTCTCTTCCAAATGAGGCAAATGTACATTGTGGTTTTCCATCACAGCGAACCAGCTGACATCAGTTTTGAATGACACACTGAGGGTCACTGAGGAAGATGCAGTAAGCGCCACCTCAGAGGTAGTTCCAGGTAGTTCAGCCCGTGCGGGACAGAAGATAGAACGACTGCCAGGTGTACCCAGCCACAAACTGCAGAGCATTTCAACTGCTCTTAATACGCAGCTTACACAGCTACTGGTAAGTCATCTTAACAGGAATGTGTGCCAATCAGTGTAGTGACAAATTTGATACTTTTCTTTAGGTTGATGATTTTCTGTGGATTGTGATCAGTTAGAAGGTGACATGCCAGTTTCATTACAGTCCATGCACAATACAAGTGTTTTTATGTTACAGAATTTCATCCTTATGTCAATTATTAAACATGATCATAAAAGTCACAATACAGACCACAAATGTAATATTATGGGTAATCGGGATAAATATAGAAATTGTTTTTGACAGGTAATCTTAAGCAATAAAAAGAATCAGCCAGAATTAGGCTAGTTGTGTAAGAAACTCAGGCCGTGCACATGCGCATGTTCAGTAATGTAGCGAACATTGGCTGGACTGTGACATGCTGCATTGATGTTAGTGGATGTCTTGTGGTGTGGTTGCTACTCACATCGTGTTTTACGTTTTGTAGTATGCTACCCTTACTTAATTTGCCATTTGAATAATAGTATTAAGCTGAAATGCAAGTAGTGCCCATATAGCAGTATGGAAGGTTTGCCTGCTCTTTTTTCTTATGTGTAAGAAATTATGCTTTATCACAACTGCTGACCGAAAAGAAATTTTCTTAAGAATATGTGTCCCCTTATAACTTGGGAAGCCACTGGAAGCATAGAGTTCACATTAGAGAATGTTACATTGTGGGCACATTTTCAAGAACTTGAACTTCCACTGTGCTACAGACCAGAAAGTCACAGGTCTGATTCATGAAGAAGTCATTCCTTTTTTTCAATTGACCTAATCCAGGCGCAATATGGCCCGGGGGTTGACTCAACCTCTAACAGAAATGAGTACCAGGAATCTTCCTGGAGGTAACAGAGAGCGAGCCAGAGCATAAGGCGGACAACCTCACTGCCATCTGTGAGCCAGCTGTCTAGAAAATGTGGGAGCCTCGAGACCTTTCAACCATATGGGCCATCACTGCCCGATACAGGGATAGCTTTACCTTACATAGTTCGTGTTTTTAATGTTCTTGAAATAAATTATCTGACATATGCTGTGACATTTATTTATTTTCTTGTTTAGATCATCATAATTATTCGAAACATTGCCAGCCCAAATAGCTGAAACCTTAAACTTGCACTTTAATTAAACTCTAATGTGATGCTCTATAGATGGTGACTGACCCTTCAGGTGAACCTGTTGCTTCCATCGTCTGTCCTGAAGATGGAGACAGCATGTTCCTCCGCATTGTCATTGAACAATTAACAAAACTACACGGCATCACCTCCCAGAAGACACATGCTCGTCATTATATTATGAGTAGTGTCTGAGGGTGTTGAGAACAGGGTGTTGAGGAGAATATTTGGACCGAAGAGAGGTGAAGTGACAGGAGGTTGGAGAAAACTGCATAATGAGGAGATTCATAACTTGTACTCTTCTCAAAGTATAATTAGAATGCTCAAGTCAAGGAGGATGAGGCGAGCAGGGCACATAACACAAATGGGGGAGACGAATGCGTATAGGATATTGGTGGGAAAGGCAGAAGGAAATAGACGACTAGAACGACCAAGACATAGGTGGGTGGATATTAAAATTGGTCTGAGGATGCGGTGGTATGGTTTGGATTAATCTGGCTCATGATACAGACCAGTGGAGGGCTCTTGTGAACACGGTAATGAACCTTTGGGTTCCATAAAATTCTGGGAAATTCTTGAGTAGCTGCAGATTTGGCTTCTCCTCAAGAAGGACTCAGCTCCATAAGTAAGTAAGTATATATAAATATTTGGAGGATGCTCGAGGACTTCCCATTTGAAATTTTGCAGTGTCTCATTTGTCTTGTTGGCAGTATGGGGACGAATGTTGTCATGCAAGAGCAGCACTCCCGGTTCTGACAGCAGCCCAAAGAATTTGATGCTGCTGGTTTTCAGGGGCTTGCAAAGTGATGGGACAGGTGCCTCAGTGTACAGGGAGATTATGTTGAGAAATAAAAGCATTTTTCAAATCAGTACTCTTATTTTTTAAGTTCTATATCAATTTTTAACTTACTTATTGACTTACCTATGTAGAAAGAGATAGCAAATAATAGATTTGTTAAAATGTAATTAAAATACTAATTAATTATTTCAGATATTTATTATTTTACAAGGACTTGAGCTTAAAATGACAGTATTTGTTAAAATACAGGTGTACTCGAATGTACAGAGTTTTATGTTCACCATTTAACTTGAATTTTTTGTATCACTTGGAACGTCACACTCATATAACATACTTTCATTTTCTGTGTATAAGCTTAATCTGTTAGGGGTTTTTATTATAACTTCTTGTGATAATCAATTTTATGGCTTCTGGTAATGTATCCTTTCCATTGCAGAAAATAATAAAGGACCGTGATGAGGAGCGAGAACGATTACGTCGGGAGCTGCAGAGATCACGTGAACAGCTTCATGTGATGCACGAAAGTCACCGTCGCAACCAACTGAACGCTTCACCCAGCCCTTCACATTCACGTCCAAACAGTCTTATCTCTCAAGAAGGACTGTGTGAACCTCATCATGATAGTGAAGATGAATCAGGTTGGTGTCGAGAGTAACATGGGTTGTTAATGCTGTTCTCTAATAGAAGGGTTCTAACTTACCCAGTAGTGACAAAATTGTGATGGCAGCGATTACTACGATTAGAGGCTTCTGGGATTGGGTTGCCCTGCTGCTTACGTCTCAGAGCAGGAAGATGGAGGCAACTGGTTCCCTAGAAATGTTGGTATCTGTCAGGAGTGAGATGCAGCTCAAGGTACTGCATAATTAGATTCCAGTGTTGAAATAGAATCAAGATTGTTTAAGATGAAAGTTCATTATTAACTGTATTCTTATGATTTCCTAGATAATTTCCAAAATTTTGTTCTAATTCCAGTTTTGAGGAATATTAATAAGTTTAGCATTGTTGGGTTTGTGGTCTGTGGCCACCATCCAGTATTCTGACCAGAGCACATTTTGAAACTGGGCCTGTTTCTGCCCCCAGCTCAAAAGATGGGGAGGCATGCTTGCTTTGCTCTGCTTGAAGCAGCTAATCCCACGAAACAGAGAGGTGCCTCTCTCTGTTTCGTGGCATGCGGTAGTGTAGGTGGTTGAGGCACTATGCCACAAGCTGGAAGGTCATGGGTTTGATTCCCAATGAGGTAACCAGATTTTTCAATTGACCTAATCCATCCAGCTGTACTATGTATGGCCTTGGGGTCAACTTAGCCTCTAACAAATGAGTACCTGGAATCTTCCTGCGGGGTAAAGGGTGGCCGGCACTTGAGGCTGACTTCTCTAGAAAATGTGGCAGCCTTGAGGTCTCACAACCCTATGGGCCTCCATGGCCTGTTACAGGAATAGCTTTACCCTTCTCCCATCTTCTTTCATGTGAAGACAGAAAGAGGCCTGTTTTGTTAAACGTGTTCTGTTTGAGATATTGGGTGTTTGTCCAGAAACCCAGTAATGTTCTGTGCAATGAACCATAATCAGAACTCTTTGGAACTGATATCAGTTTGTATCAGCTGAGAAACATTTGCCTGGTATCAGTGCATTCACTGGGTTCTGTAACTGTACTTGAGAGTGAACGGTGCTGTGTTCCGTGCACAAGATCAGTATTCACTGGTTCCCATTGAGCTTAATTTCATTAGGGGTAAATAACGTGCTGTCAGTAAGATCCATTGGTTCCTGATTCAAAGTAGGTAAAGGGAGATACACTAAAATCCCAATTTAATATTCCCTGTCAGATTCCATGAAGGCACTTAAAGTAGGTATGTGCCAGGATAGCTCAGTTGGTATAGTGCCAAAATGACCAGGGGGTCAGAGTTCAAGAGCCAGTAGGAGCAAAATTTTTCTCCCCTCAGCGTCGTCCAGGCCTCCTATCCAGTGGGTATTCAGGGCTCTTTCCTTGGGCGTAAAGGGGCCAGGGCCTGAAGCTTACCTCTCACCTCCATCTAGTGCCGTATCAATAATGGTGGAGCTATTCCTTCACGCCCTCATATGTCTTCGTGACAGTGCTTAAATATTTAAGTACAAGGACAGCTTTTTACTTCAAGAGGGCCTTGAACATTTCCTTCAATATCCTTTCCAGTTCATCGTTCACCTGTTATCCTACTGACACTGTATAGGCCAGAAGCTGTAAACACCATTAAATAGTCAACAGAAATAAATTTCCCTAATTGAGTGAAAACATTGATTTGCTGTTAGTAAAGTCATTTCCCCACATATATATTAAATTGGAATTTCAGTGTATCTGTGAGATGTTTGTGCATGTCTCTTTTTATGCATGTTAAATTTGAATGCCAAAACAGAGTACAGAAGATTGTTTTATTTTGTTTATATTTGACAAGTGTATGTTGAGTGCACAAATGTACCCAAGCATGTGCTTTCCCTCTATACGCTGGGCTCAAATATTCTGTCCAGATTTGCAGTGATGTGGGGAAATAAGAATTGTTTGGGTGTTTGGCCTTGTTATAATAGCTGGAGCTTTCTGTGCTGTTTGGTAAGCTTTACTTCATTATCATTGGAGTCCCTGTTTGCTGTGCGGCTACTGAGTTTTTGTTTTACATTGCATTGAGTATGAGATAGTAGAATTTGGATTATTGACTTAAGAACCACAAAATATTTTAAAATCTCCTTATTAAGAACATGAACAAAAATGTCACTTTGTAAGTCTTTATGTAATTATCGCTTGGGGGGTGTCATTTTTTTTGGAAAGGGGATCTTGTGCTGATGTCATTAGTGAAACTATAGCATCAGATGGTAGGATGATAGATTTGGAAGGAAGAAGTTCCAACATTTTTGTAGACTGGGGAAAAGTTACCTGTTGTTCTGGCTGGGATTTGAACTGAGAACTTTCTGAGAAGAAGTCAGGAGTTACACCACTACACCAGTGTATTCAGTGATAATATACAGTGTCTGAGCAATTATGGCAGTGGCTGTTTAGTGATCCATTGTAAAATAAGTCCAAACATAGTTCTAAACAAGGATAGAGGTAATTTTGAATTCCAGCTGCAAGTCGAAATTGCTTGTAAAGTGTGCTGCGTTCATTCACTCATTCTTGTGTATGGAGTGTCTTTGCATCCCTGAAGACAAGCCTCATGTAGTGTTACCATAGGTCACACAAGAAGTTGTGTATGAATGCCGTACTAGGTTTGAGTTACTGCTTCATCTGTAATAAACATTCGCACAGTTCAGTATACTGTGAATCACTTTCAGACTTGCTGTCATTGGCATATTTAATTCCAGATTGGTTCACTGTGCTAGTTCACATTCAGTTTCTCCAGCACACTCCATACCTGCTAGTTTCTTCATATTTACTAGTGTCTTCAAAATATTGTTTACCCTCTGGTGTCTTCAGCAAATGCTTCACTCTCTAGTTTCATCAACAGATTTCTTCAGCAGATGCTTCACTCGCTAGTTTTTTCAACAGATTTCTCACTTGCTGGTTTCTTCAGCAGATGCTTCCCTCGCTAGTTTTTTCAGCAGATTTCTTCAGCAGGTGCTTCACTCACTAGTTTTTTCAACAGATTTCTTCAGCAGATCCTTCACTCACTAGTTTTTTCAACAGATTTCTCACTTGCTGGTTTCTTCAGCAGATTTCTTCCTACCTGCTAGTGTCTTCAACATGATTCTTACCATCTGGTTTCTTCAATAGATTGCTTGCCCACTAGTTCCTTCAACAGATGATTCATGTGCTAATTTCTTTAGCAGATTTCTTCGCTTGCTAGTTTCCTCAGCACATCTTTACTCACTAGTTTCTTCAACAGATCTCCACTCCCAGAATGGTACCCAGTTCCTGTTTACTCATCCAGTGGTAATTTGCAAATTATTTATTCAAACGAATATATAGTTTTTTCTACATAATCCCTTTGAACATTTTTTTGCAACTATTGTTTCATTGTTACAGCTGATGTGTTTTGATAAGGTAACATACTCTTCATCGATGATGTTGCTCTCTGCTGATCGCTACTCTGCCATGAATCCAAAATTTGAATTAAAACAAACTACCTGCTATGTTGAAATTTCTGGACTTGAAATTTGTGATAAGTCTTCTTTTCTTTACATATGTTCTATACTGTTTAGGTTATAACATATTCAAATTTTTAAAATCATAGCTTACACACAGAATTATTGGGGTTTTGGAATTTTTCCATCGTCCAGAATTACAGGTGATAGAGGACATGACATTTCAGAAACTGGATCTGTTTCTGTCTTCAGGTGAGAAAGGAAACCCACTCAGTTGGTCCAGTGATTGAGATTAGCTCTTTCTAAGGGTCCCAACTGAGTAGGTGTCTTCCTTTCTCACCTGATGACAGAAACAGATCCAGTTTCCGAAACATCGTGTCCTCTATTACCTAGAATTCTGGATGATGGAAGAAGTCAAAAACCCCAGTAATTCTGTGTATGATCCACCATAGTTTACATGTTAGGCCTAGAATTTATGATGCTGCCATTAAAAACATCCAACAGATTTGAACCATTGTGGTTTGACAGGTGTACCATTTTAGTTCAAGATTATCAGTCCTTTTAATATAAGTATAATATGTGCTTAATACATTTATGTAATTCCTTTAAAGTTGTAATCTGGCTTTAGTCCAGCTTTTAAATTTTCCAGTGCAGTCCTACACAGAACTCTGTCCAAATGGATTTTGTAAATTTTGTTGAGAGGATAGAAATGCTATGTGATTGTAATTTTTCTGCATAAATAATTGAATTGGGCCTTAGATGTTAATGATGTTAATGCAGATTGTATTTATATCCCTATTCATTACTGTATTATAAGGAACATAATTCAAAATGATGGAATGATTTGAAAGTCGACATGTCTTCCATTTTCTACTGTGCCATGCTCTTTGGAGCCCAATTGCAATGCTCAGGAAAGCTTTGTTTGTGATGTAGCGTGAATTAGTAGGAGTTCTGTCGACAGGTTTGCACAGGTCAGCTGAAACAGGCCACGAGATTGTAGATGTGTCTGATGTGGGCACAGACAAGCACTTGATGTCCGAACAGCATGACGACACAGGACCAGACGTAAGTTCACTGACCATGGTCCATTCATAACAGAGATGAATTTAATCTGAAAAGTCTGAATTTGTGAGGTAATGGAAAATTCCCATTACCTGGTACAAACACTGTTGTTTGCTGTATTCCTTCGAGGCAAAACATTTCTGCATGTGTGGTTGAAGTTCAGTCTTATGAAGGAATACAGACATGAGCAGCACATTGCACATTAGTCTCACAAATTAAACACACTAGAAAGATTTATGGTTGTTGTAGTGTTGAATGTGAAGACGGCCATAGTTAAGAAGGGAACCATACAGTTTGGTAGAGGAACCTGTTTGTTGCCTCTGAAACTGTGGGACCTGTGTACAAAACTATACTGCATCACATCTGAGAAGAATGAATGAAAATCTGAAATTAAATGTCATTATGGGTGCATGGTTCTGTGAATTTCAAATCCAAGGATTTCTTAGTGAGTCAGGATAGCTCAACTGGTACAGTGACAGATGGTTCGGGTTCAATTCCTGGAAGGGGAAAGATCTTTCTCCACAGTGTCCAGACCTACCCTGGGGCCCAACCAGTCACCTCCATGCAGTGCTGAGTACAAGAATGATGGAGCTATACCTCAACTCCCACTAGCTTTACGTGTACTATTTTGAGGATTTCTTTGCATAAAAGAGATTGTTTTGTTTGTGGAATGTTGTCCTTGCGAGATATATACTGTGATTCTTCAGCATGTCACATAAGTTCAGAAACATAAGCAGTATTGGTGTCCAACACAGCCGTTGCAAAATATGCCCTGTATACTGGCAGTTCACAATGACGCAAACGTTATGCCAGTCCGAGGGAACTGTGAGTTGCCTGTGGTGGGTTCTCACAGCACACAGTGAAGATTCTGTTGCAGCAGGACACCCAGCAGTGTAGCAACTTCACTGTGTAACATGTGGCTCTCCCTCTGCATTTTTCTTATTGTTTTGAGAGCTGCTTTGTGCTCAGTGTTTCTGCTCATGTGTCGCTCTGTTCAGCAGTTGCTGCAGAAGCATGTAAGGTCCTGGTAATTCGTCAGTGCATAGTGAGGCTAGTAAGGTAAGGTTTCCCCTGTATTTATCTAAGCAAGCACTGTGCCATGAAGACATATGGGGGAGTGGAGGTATGGATCCATGTATTCACCTTGGCAGTAGTTGGGGTGAATGGTCAGCTTTCTTGTCTGGACAACACAGAGAAGAGAAAAAGTGAGGCTAGTTAAGAACTGTAATTGTGGTCATGACATAGCTCAGGTGGTTAGTCACTGGCTTCCCACTGTGGTGGCCGGGTTCGAGCCCAAATCAGATCATAAGGGATTTGTGGTGTACAAAGCAGCACTGTGGCAGGTTTACTCTGTGAACTTCAGTTTCCCCTGCCAATCTTTATTCCACCAATTGCTCCACAGTCACCATCATGTACCATCCAGGGCTGGTACAATAGGCCAGTAGTGGCCACAGTACCAAGTGGACTCAGTCTCACCCCACTAAAAATAAAAAAAAAAAGAACTATAATTAATAGCTTTGTTATGTAGTGGTAGTGTAGTTGGTTGAGGCATTATGCTACAAGTCTGAAGGTCACAGGTTCGATTTCCAATGAGGTCATTGAATTTCTCAATTCACACTATGGCCCAGGAGTCAAGTCACCCTGTAACAGAAATGAGTACCAGGAATCTTCCTGGTTGTAAAGGACAGTCGGCCAGCGTCTAAGGCTGACAACCTCACCACCGTCTGTGAGCTGATTGTCTAGAATATATGGGAGCCCTGACTTCTTATAACCCTGTAAGGCCTCCACGGCCTGTTAGAAAGATAACTTAATTTTCTTATATCCTCAGGGTTTCATGTCCCCCCCCCCAATTTATCTTACATATTGAGATTTCCAGCGGCGAATGTGAACATTGCTGTTTTCTCGGTTGTAACATCCGGGAATTCTGATAAACTTTGGTGACATGGGAGTGTGAGTTTCCTTGTTTCCGGTTTCATAATATAAAAGTTTTAGCACCATGTACAGGCATGGAGGTCTAGAGGCATACATTCTTAACCAGAGTGCCACTATCACACTTTATGTGCCAGTGTTGTAGGCTGTCTCTAGTGGTGGTCCCCCACTCCTCACCACCATCTGCCTTGAGGACCGAATAAGACGGCACATGAAGGGGCGTGGCCAGTGTCATGCTGGCCGGTTTACCACAGGCAATAGAAATGTTTATTTCCCCCGCCAGGAATCGATTCCTCGCTGACCATCACTACAATGGCTGAGAATTCCAGATCACCTTTCTTTCGTGTTATATTTGCATCTCTTAGTGTGGGCATTATTTTCAATTTAATGTTATTTGAAGTGGTGGAAAAAGGAATTTAGGAAACATCTGATGTAGGTTGTTGATATTTGCAGTGTGGTATTGAGATCCGTAGCTGAGCAGCAAGCCAAAAATCCTGCCAGCTTTTGGAATTGCACGTTTTGCATATTTGAAAGCTGTTTTTTTGTATGCAGGAGAGCAATAAAGCCAAACCATGTTGCTTTCAGGTGTTTGTTGATGCTTTGTCTGGCGAAGCAGAGGGCCACCTGGAGGCTGAATCTGAGTTATTAACCAAAACAGCTGAGGAATTGGAAGCAGTCACCAGTGATTCATTGGCAGGGGAAACTAAGATTGATGATGATTGAAGAGGTCATATTATGTTACGAACTTGGAAATAGGCATGTTCTGTTGCTTACACATTGTCAAGTACTAGTCGAAAATCATGCAGCATGTAGTAAAAGTATAGAAAATGTTTGATATTTCAGAAATTTCAGCTGTCAAATTCATATGTGATACTCCAGTGAAACAAAATTCCATGTTTAGAAGAATTCTACTTCAAGGATCAAACATTAAATGAAGAATTTCATCCAGTCATCCTAAGATAGTGTGAACAAATTGCATTGATTGGCTGTAAAAAGGAAATTACAAGAACAGTGTGTTCACTTCCAAGTAGAGATAGATTTTTAAAGTTACTTATTTTGTCATAGGAGAAATAAAATTATGAAATTAAGCTGCTGTACCAATTTAGAAGTGGAAATCACTTTTTTTTGTCTATGTTGTAATATGTTTCTGTTAAGCTTTTCTTGTTACTTCCTCCAGTGGCATTTCTGGTTAGAAATGGTTTCGACTTTTTTGACTCTGAGGAGTAAGCTGGTGCAAGAGAATACATTAGGAGTGAATCAGAACGTAGCGCTAAGATGTATGTATTATATGGAGAATGTTTTCCACTTGTCTCTAATGCCTTCAATTAGTGCCTAGTAAGACAACAGAAACACTTATCTTTGGTGTAGTGTTGTATGACCGAATTTCATGTCTGCCATGTACGGCATAAAGTGTGTGTTAGAGATATATTTTGTTGCTAAATTATGCAGCGAACAAGACCCCATATATTGTGCTGTGATGGCTTCCGAAACAAATCGATTATTATCAGTCATCGTTTAGTATCTTATTTTCATTGTGCTATGTCATCACATGTGCTGCAACATGTCATGTAAATGTAGTCACAGTTCCAAGCAGAATATGCTGAACAAGTTTTTTATTTCAAAGGCCGATTTCGATTAAAGATTTTTTTATATTTATTTTTACTAAGTGGTGAATTTGAGGTACACACAAATAGTGTTCAGGTAACCATAGTATTCACGTTTAAAACATGAAACATATTCCTGACCAGTGGTCGATTTTTTTAATCTGGTAGCCAGACCACATTTTGGTCACCTGGGAACAGTGATTCATTGCTGAGGTCTCGCCTTCAATCAATACACAGAATGAATTCTCTCTCTGTAACCTTCTGCAGTTTAAGTGTAAGGTAGTGGCAAAAAATTAAATTGAAAAGGTTAATTTGTATGATCTACTGTACTTCTGATTTTAACATCTGTTGATTCTGTTTGCCATTTCCTTCATTCCCCAAGTAGGCAAGTGAGGTCAGCAGAACTCCATAAGGCAACAGTTGAATATCAACTGGGAAATTAATTGCAAGTCAGACTTCTGCATTTGCCACTGGCCTCCAGGTGACCATATGTTCCTAACATGTTTGTCATTAGAATCAGCCCAGTTGAACATGAGGATATGGTAGAATGTGAAATAAATAAGAAAACAGTGTAATATCCGTCTGTGCCATCGGCCTAGTAAAATGTAATTGTTTTTTTGAATATGGTAATTATTTTCTCAAAGACTTAGGTAAACATATATATGTCTGTTATGCCTTCCACTGGTTTCCCATTCTACAAAGCTTGGTATGTAATTTATTATTGTATGTCATGTTAATTGTTCATATAAACCAGATCGTGGAATGGTGTAAAAAGTATGATAGCATGGGTTCTTTTTGACTTGAATTTTCAGTTTGTTCATAGAATGGAGTAACAGATAATATTTCCAGTCATCAGGTAGAACGGATGCCTTTGCCAGTAATACAGCAATCTGTAAAAAATAAATGACAGAATTATGATAAATATGCTACATGAAATAATTAAAAATGTCATTGGAAATGAGTTTTAATTGCTCGTAGAAATGTCCAGGTATATTGATTCATATATGATTTTCCACTGTCCTCCGTCTTTGGAGCATGTATGAAATGCTGTACTGTCCATAATATTATGTAACATAGTGGAACTGTAAACTTGGTTTGGGCAGCTGGACTTGTGGCCTGCTTGTTCAAGCACCTCCTACTGTTACCATGGCAACAAATAATGATTATGTTAGTAACACATGTAACATCTTAATGCTGATTAGACAAATGCCTCACAAGGCCAAACAAAACTCATAATCAACCAAAATATAAATACAGGAAAGAATAAATGCATTTTTAATTGTACCATACATTCTAGGAATAAAATGTATATAGAACTGAAGTAAGTAAATAAATAAATATAATTGATATGGAATATCTGTATTGCATTGTACTTATTAGCACACCTTTCATCCTCTTTTTGTTTACATTAAATCACTTGCAGAATTTAGCAGTGTCCATTTCTAGCTGCAATTTCCATGGATAACCCTTCCACTGATTTTTTCTCACACATTACAGCCCTCGAGGGACACTCTGAATTCATGGTTTCTTTGAATATGCACCTCATGAATTTGAAGAGTTCAGGGAAGGTGGCTTGATAGAATAAGCATTTTAATAGTATAGAGGTACTTTTTTCAACAGAGGAGAATACAGTAAACCCTTGCTAAACGGGTTACAGGTAATCTGGATCAAAATAATAAAATTAAAAAATTCTGTTCACATTCGAGTTAGTACTTCAAGAGCCACATGGGGTCTAATAGCAAGTGGACTTTCAGACTGTTGAGGGCAGCCAGAGCGAATGAAACCAAGCAAGAAAATATCCAAGATTGACTTCAGCTGGATGAAGGAGGCCCTGGATTTCAGCTTCTGACAGACAGAAATTGCTGCAGTGATTCATCTTCATAGTGTGCAACCTGTTGTGTGTTCCAAACATATATATATATATATGTTGCTGCAGTCATTTTTTATTTGTTTTCATAAGCACTGTCTATATTATTAAATTTGTCACTTGTTTGTTTCTAAGTTTTTTTGTCTCTTAGGGCTATCTTTTGCTTCATTAATCCAGATTGTCATTTAACCCAGATGACCTCTGCCTCCCATTAACCTGAATTAATGATGTGTTACAGTATTAATGTTGACTCAAAACAGTATATTAGTGTCATCTGGTCTGTCATAACTGACTGAGATCAATCTTGAATTTGGTTTTCACGAAAGCAAATACTGTGCTGCGTAGATCAGTTATGTATGGACATGACTTGCACGAGATTGCAACATTTGAGGTTCTCTCAGCACTGCCTCCTAGGATGTGGCACTATGTAGTCTGGTAGGCAGATTCCAAACAACAGTGTCACAACATTGTCAATTTAATCTGACAGTCGTTAATGAATACTGATTTGTAAAAATGAAAAAGTTTAATAGCTCCGTTCAGTGTAACTGGTTAAGATTTTCTTATTTCGATTATTCATGCCCTTACATGTTTCGGTCTTCAGAGGGACACCTTTATATCAATACAGTTAGAAGCCACTATTACAGTAAATGTTCCAAACGTTAAAATGTATACATACAATATAAATAATATGCAAGTGGCTGTAAAATCTGAAGTCTTTACAGCTGCAGCGGCTGTTCAAATACTTTAAAAGAGTGGTTCCCAAACTTTTTCGGTTCACGGCGACCTTAAGTGTATCAGAATTTTTCCACGGCGCCCAAAGTCAGAACATAGAACATAGTTGCAGTGTGCAGTTGGTGCAGTTAGGTTGGTTAAGTTAAAAAAATAAATGAATCACGTATTTCAAATTCACAAACAGTTTATGTAAAAAGTATTAAATAAGTACTCAATCATATCATTGAATAAATAAATCATAATTAGTGAGATGGATGAGCCTGTTGTTCACTGCACATCTTCTCAGATCTTCAGATCAAACTGGACACAGCCACCCTCATTTCCTGTTACACGTTGATTTTCGCACGATACTTGCTTTTCATCACAGCGACCGCCGAAAACCCAGCTTCGCACAAATATGATATCGCAAATGGAATTAAGATTCGCTGAGCTTTACCACTGAGCAGCGGATATTCATCTTTTACTGATATCCAAAAGTCAGTTCCATGCTGCCAAATTTTGTCTTCAGTGTATTGTTTAAAATATTTAAAATATTTATAGTTAGTTTGTTAAGATTCTATTGGAATTCGTAAACCAAACTGGTTCATGTCATCCCTCTTATTTCTTTTGACGGGAGGCCAAATGTGTGCCACCTTGTCGTTCTTGAGAAGAGGGTTCTTTAATGTCCTGTGTGTATAAGGTGTCCCCCCTGATGATGGTCTCTGAAGACCGAAACATGTAAGGGCATGAATAATTGAAATAAGAAAATCTTAACCAGTCACACTTATATATATGTATATATATATATATACATATATAGTGACATGGATGGCGCAAGAGGAAGTAGGGGTCACGTGAACTCTGCGTTTTCACGAGTGACATCACGTACCCCCACTCCTTCCATCATTATGAAACGCTCGGTAAACACCCCTCCCCTGCGGTGACATAACAGCAGAGCAGCTGTGTCAGGCAACCATTGTCATGGTGATGTAACCGCATAGGAGCTGCTGTCATTGCTATGATAACGGCCAGTAAACGCTCTGCCCCCCCTCCCTGCGGTGACATAACAGGGAGCAGTATAAGAGGCTGGCTGAGCAGCGTGCCAGACAGAGTGTGGATCATGAAGTCGCCGAGAGCAATGGAAGTCTAGCAGTTGCCCAGACATGGAAGTGACTACAGCAGGAGAAGTAATCATGATACTGCAGATGGCATTAATTGTGTAAGTGTAAGAGCGAATGTGGAATAAATTCTCTACATCCAAGACAGCATGACGTTATTTGTCGTGAGTCAAACACCCAACACGTGACACTATATACCTATGTATATATATATACAAAGTGGTTCAAATATGACCGGGACTTTTTTTTTTTAAACCAAAATTTCCAAACACTTACTTGCACATGTTAGTCTTCAATGTACTCCCCTCCAGAGCCAACATATTTTTCCCAACGTTCTGGAAGCATCCTGATGCCCTTTTCAAAAAAGTTTTGTGGTTGGCGGCGTATCCACTCCTGAACATTCTGGATGATGGCGTCCACGAACCGCATGCCTTGCAAGTCTGATTTGAGCCTTCGAACAGGTAGAAATCACTTGGTGCCAAATTGGGACTGTACAGCGGATGTGTCAGAAGGTTCCATTTCAATTTCCGGAGGGTTTCCATTGTTGTTTTGGTTGTATGGGGGCGTGCATTGTCATGAAGGAAGGCTACCCGCTTTCCACCTCTTTTCTGCTTGGATTGGATCTTTTCCATCATGTCTGTTGGCAGGAGGTCTGAGTAATAAGCTGCATTGACTGTTCTGGCATCTGTCAGAAAGTCTACATGGATAACCCCCTGCCAGTCCCAGAAGAACCTTGCCATCACTTTTCCTGCCGCACGGCTACTCCGCGCTGTCTTGGGTTTGAGAAGTCTGGTATGCCACCACTTGCGTGTTGATTGCTGGGACTCAGGAATGAAGTAGTGCACCCATGTTTCATTGGTGGTCACTATAGACTTCAAAAATGCATCACCTTCGTCTTCAAACTGCTGTAGGAGACGACTGGCAACTTGCATGCAGACCATTTTGTTCACGTCCGTCAAAGTGTGTGGTACCCACCATGCATTCACCTTGCGATAGTGCAGGTGGTATTTCATGATGTCTTCTACACTACCAACACTGATGGACAGCATTGCTCCAAGTTCCTTGATAGTGATGCGCCTATTCTCACGAATAAGTGCATCTGCACGATCAATGTTTGGCTTGGTGACGGATGTTCGCGGCCGACAATC